TATAACCAATTGACGAAAGAGACGATACTTTTAACTGAATGAGAGATTGTTATATATTTTTGATCTGAATCAGGATACGCAGATTGTTTTTTAGTCTTAATTTTCTTCTTCTCCTTAGATACTGCCAGTTGCATGCACATTAATAGCATCAGTGGTTTATTATCTCCAGACTCAGATTTTGCATTCGAGTATGCATTCTCTTGTGAGCTGCTTTTGCTTGAAGAAAGCTGGACATCCAGCACCTGGGACCAAGGAGCATGCCATTCTTGCTTCTGAGACGGCTTGTGAGTAGAGAACATACAGTTAGCAAGATATAATTAATCTGTTTCTGAAGTTAACCACTTCCCAATCAGACATTTTCCTTTCATTTAATCTGTTTCGGAAGTTAGCAAGATATATAGACATAGACCGAATCAAAGAAAGAAATAACTTAAATTGTTTAAGTGATCTTATCAGAACAACTGTGCTAGTAATAACTTAAATAGTTTAGGGAGTTCAGTAGTTTATAGTTATGAGGAAGGGCAATTACAATGCATCAACGCAAGGACTAAGAACTCAACTTACTGGGTCAATTAGGCTGATCCTTGTTTGCCATTTATCTTTATTTGGGGGCCTTTGTTTATAGAATCGTAAGCCATAGAGTTTTCTCCCTTCCCTACCCATGTTCTTTTGAGCATTCACCTTCACCTATTGCTGGTTTCAGCTCGGGTCAATGCACTTCTCTCTGCTGAAGTCGTTGGTTACTGAAACATGCTAAACAACTTATTGATCTTGCCATCGATTGCAGTTGCCTTAAATGTGAGAACAGATTTCCTTACTTTGTAAGCTGGCAATACCTTAAGATGCCTTTGCATAGAATTGCATGTCCACTTACAGATTAACATCACTTCCCAGCTATAAGGGCTCTGTGGAATTATAATCTGTTACACGTCAAAGCCTAATCTCTTCTGTTTTGTTGGCAGTTTACTGTGAATGAAGTAGAAGCTTTGTACAGTTTGTATGAAATATTAAGCAGTTCCATAATTGATGATGGTCTTATTCAACGGGTACATTCTTATTTCTTTCCACTGAGTTTGTTTTTAGACCTTTGTTTTAATAGACAATAAACACTGTTTTTAGGCTTTTATCTTGATGATTGTTTCAGACATGTTTATATTTTTCTGAAGAGTTACCTCTGTTTTATTTCATGAATAGGAAGAGTTCCAGCTTGCACTTTTCGACAACAGCAGTATGCAGAGTCTCTTTGCAGACAGAGTGTGTATTACTGCTCCATTTATTTAACTATTAGGTTTAAGAAACTTTAACAGTTTAAGAGGGTATAGCAGCACCAAATCAACAAATTTACCAAGTACTACATGGATTGAAATGTTTCGGGACTATTGTCAAAGTTTGTTCAAAGCATAAATCGATAATCTTGAATCGTGAATAGTTCATCCGGTCAGAGATGTGCACACAAGGAATTTTTCAAGTCACCAAGGTGGTGTTGCTAGTTATAGTCCTCACCATTCCATTAACAAACATTTTGATCTAGTCCTCCAAAATTTGAAGATCCATTGCATTTTTTCATGTTATTGCAGTTGTTTGATTTGTTTGATCTTAAGCATAATGGGGTCATTGAATTTGGAGAATTTGTTCGATCGTTAAACATCTTCCATCCAAATGCTCCTGAAGCAGATAAAATCGAATGTAAGTTCATTATGAAGTTTCTTGTGTTCGTATATCTTTGCTGTTCTACTAATCTGTAGATAGTGAAGGAATGTTTTTTCTCGTGACTAAATGATCATGTATTGTCTTTCTAACCGATGATATATTGTCTTCAAAAGATGATGTTGACCATGGCACTACCTTTTTATATCTGTTACTGCTAACTTGGGAAATAACCTTCTTGCAGTTTTATTTAGAATGTTCGATCTGAGGCACACTGGCTACATAGAGCGTGATGAGGTGAGTGCCTCTTTTTTCTAGCTGGCCTTTTCCTTAAACCTCTATCACTTTCTCCTTTTCTATGTAGATGCATGCTTATTAACCCCTTTAATGTAAATTATTCAATGCTGCAGTTGAAGGAGATGGTTTTGGCTTTTCTAACAGAATCAGATTTACCGCTTTCCAATGATGTTGTTGAAGCCATAGTGGATAAGGTGATGAATGATCAATCTCGATTGTTTATGTGTTTATCTTGTTCCATCATCAACTAAATTGTCCTCATAACTCTATAGACAATCCTAGAGGTAGATCTAAAAGGAGATGGAAGGATTGATCAAGAAGAGTGGAAGGAATTGGTGGCAAGGAATCCATCTCTTATAAAGAACATGACTCTTCCATATCTAAAGTGAGTTGTGAATTTCACTTAGAACTTATGCATTTTGTTTTCTGCTTCTGTGGTATGCTTCATCTTTGGTTAGTAGTTCCACATCATTGATTGTTGCTTTAGAAATTAATGAGATGGCTATAGCATTGTGCCCCTGATTCTAGTTGTCTTGTTATGAAATACGAAAAGACTACGACACCAAATTATTTCTTTTCGATATAAGAGCGAAAGTTACCACCCAATTGGGTGATGTTATGACTCAATCAGATAAATTACTACAAAACAGAATCGTTAGGAATGATGTAACATTTCTGAGTCGTCCCAACGTGTTTGAGCCATAACTGACTTTTTCGAGTTATAAATTGACCCCAATTGAGTTGCAACTAATCTCTATGGAGTCGTGACTTTCAGTACGCTACCTCAGTTTCATATATGATAATGATTTCAACTTGATTCCCTTATTCCAGGGAATTAACTATAGCATTTCCAAGCTTTGTGCTGACCACCCAAGTCCTAGATTCGGAACTAGCTTACTACAGAGATCACCAGGTGGTATGAACTTGGACTTTTAGGTGCTGAACTCATCTCGAAACATTCCTGTTGGAGATCTTGGCATGTAATAATTGCACTTCTAGACACAGCAAAGACACAAACGGGTGCCAATGAAGCACTGCCTATAAATAGGATCAAGTCCATAGTCCATTTGTCGTCCAACTTTTGAAAAGGGCATTCCTCAATGTTTAATACTGTGGGTTTAAATTACTAATTGCAGCCTAGCTTTTGAATCAGATATATCAATGTTGTTTACATCATTGTGGTCAAATACATGATCAGTGATGCTCATCTTGAATCTATATTTGATTGGAACAAAAACAGATGAAGTATGTGAACTTGTTATCTTACGCGTGGTGAGTATCCGAATAATGGTTTATAGATAATTTCTCATTTATAGTGTTGACTTTGGCGTCATAAAGGGTCCGAGTTAAAACACGATGTGCGACAAGACTACGTACATCTACATCTGACCTTCTTTAAATCCCACAATAATCACCTGGATGCATTTTTCTGGATACTTTATCATTTTGATGTCCTTTGACTTCTCATCACCATTGGAGCACAGAGGAAAAGTGTTCACCATGTGTCCCCTCCCCTCGCTTATGTGTGCCTCCTTGTTTTTTTTTTTTTTTTTTCTTTTCCGCCTGTCCTGGTTTCCAAGCTTTGTTATCATAGTTTTCTTCTGCTTTTACTTTTTTTGGTTTTTTTTCTTTATGTGCATTTTGACTTATCTCTTCTTCGGTCCGACATTCACGTAACTAGGATATTTATGAGAAATAAATTCCTCATGATTTTGTTCTAAAGAGTTGTTAAAATTTGAATTCAAGACTTTTGAATCTGTTACCATTTCAACTATCTCTTAAAATTTATAATTTTCTTGATCTGTGTCTTGTGGGGTATCTTTTAACTTCCAACTCTCATGGTATTTCAATCATTTCACTACTAAGAAACTATGTAAGTCATAAAATCACAGCTTAGCATAAAAGGCTATGTAAAGCTGAAGTGTTGTACCAAAATTGATCTGTAACGTTAATTTTGGTTTGTACCCGTTGATTTTGGACTCATCATGTTCTGTGAGGGAGACTCTTGAAATTGTGTAGCTATTAGTTCAAATATACTCTGTTTTTCATTTCAAGTAAATGGTTCCTACAGCAGTTTCAACAAACTTGTTCAATCCAAGGGTCCATGATTCCATTCGGTGGTCATCAAATGCCTTTATTAATTAACGTAAAGGTCCAATTTGTAGATCCAAATACAGAAAAAAAACCTTGTTAAGACAAAACTTACACATGCAAAGTAAACAAAGTAAAGTCTTACCCTTCCTTTCCTTTCACATTTTTATCCCTAAAAACAGTCAAGGCACACTCACACTCCTTTCGCTTTCCGTCCTCTCCAACTTTCCCACATGCATATACTTTCTCTCTCTCTCACACACACACACTACATCCAAACACCCTTTCCACTTTCTCTCTCTAAAACTGAGACACTGATACAAAGAGATATAGATCAGACATGGGAAAGCCACAAAAACCACCAAGTGGCCGCACAAACCTAGCTTCATGCATTGTGGCAACAATCTTCTTGATATTTGTGGTTATTGTAATTCTGATCGTCTACTTCGCTGTATTTAAACCCAAAAACCCCGAGATCACCGTTAGCGCCATCCAGCTTCCCACGTTCTCCATCGCTAACGGTACCGTCAGCTTCACGTTCTCTCAGTACGGCTCCGTTAAGAACCCCAACAAAGCCGTGTTCACACACTACGACAGCTCACTGCAGTTACTCTACGCCGGCAATCAAGTGGGCTTCATGTTTATCCCGGCCGGCAAGATCGATTCGGGTCGGACCCAGTACATGGCTGCCACGTTCTCAGTTCAGTCTTTCCCGTTATCGGCAGCCCAGCCGGAGAATGTGGGCCCTACGATTACCGATGGGCTTAGTGGGTTTCGAGTCGGGCCCACAATGGAGATCGAGTCCAGGACGCAGATGGCGGGTCGGGTAAGAGTGTTGCATTTCTTCACGCATCACGTGGAAGCTAGAGCTGATTGTAGAGTGGCCATTGCTGTAAGTGATGGATCTGTGTTAGGCTTTCACTGCTAGTCTTTTTTTTTTTTTTTTTTTTTAAAATTTTGGTGATTTGGGTGTTTAATTTTTCATCCCAATTCTGCAAATGAAGTGTAGAATGTTAAAAAAAAAAAAAAGGTAAAATTTTGTAACGGGATCTTTAATTTTTTTTTTGTTGTGTATAATATTTTTCCTTGGATCTTGGTAAGCTGACTTCTTAATGGATTTCTGATCTGTCTTTGAGTTTTCTAATGACTAAGTTCATGTGTAGTTCCGAACATGCGGATAAGTGTTAGAAAATAAGATGCGATAAATATGTTAAATTTTGACATTTTAAGTTAAGATATTGATAATTTCTTAGGGTTAAATAATGAATAATTTTTTTTTAATTTTAGAGTAATTAATTTATCTTTGATCGAATTTAAAAAAAAATTAATCAAAATATATATAAAAAAAATGTTAGTCTTTAGATATCATAATAATGAACATGTTCATATAGAATAGAGTAAGATGAGACATTAGTGGCATAGGATAATTCTTATTGCGCTCGGGTTTTCAGGCCGGTGAATTTTGACATGGAAAATGTTATATAATTTAAATAAACGGAGATTATAGATGAGTGATTTTTATTAATTTTTTTAACTGAAAATTAATAATTTTTATTAATTTAATATATAAATTTGATGTATATATCATTCCTTTTAGACATTAGTACGTGGGGATCACAGGATACTATAGACCGACGACTTTTGAGGCCCGCATGGCTCATAATTCACCTACGCTCCCTTGGGATCCGAGTATGGTTCTTTTTTGACTTTCTGCAACAGCGTCAGAGAAAAATTCAGATCTTTAAAGACTCGGCCCCGGCTGCAATACCCACTTTATTATTTTTTTTTAAGGCATTTATGTTTGTCACTTCTGCACCCCAAAACTCATAATCGGTGAAATTGATATATATTTAAAAATAAGTGATATTAAAAATTAAAATTAATTTTAAAAAATGATAATTATTTATTATATTTAAACCTGAAATAAAAATATTAGAAAAAAATTCTAATATTTGAGGTTATTGAGTGACATTAAATTTACTATTTTAAATTAAGTTAAAAATATTAGAAGGTTAAGATTAGGATATCAAAATAAATTCACAACTATTTTAGGCTAAATAATAACTAAAGTTTAGCACATTTTTTTGGTATTAAAATGTTAGAGTAAGGGTATGAACAAATTTTTTGGGTAAAATTGTTATTTTTTGGGTTATATTTTGGGTTAAATTAAAATTGTTACCACAAACTTTTTCACCACTAAATAAATTACAACAAAATTATAATATTTAGGTGTTAAGTTAACACTTTTGGTGTTAAATTAAATTAGATAAAAAAATTTGGGGTAATATGAAACTAATTACATAGTTGAAAGAGTAATATAAAAATTATGAGGGAAAAATTGAAAAAGGATGATAATTTAGCGTAAAAGTGAAATTTATTTTGGAGAAACTTGATCGCTACAACCATATCACTATATGATCGCTACACCGATCCTGATTAGTTCGTTATAGACCAGTCATAACGATCAACTCCTTCTTCTTTCCTTATTCCCCCAAATCAAACTCCTCAACTCCAAAATTCTGTACCAAAAACACTATAACCCCAAATCGATTTCAAAAAATTGATTTTTCATACCCAAAACCCTAACAAGAATCCAAATCGAACCCCAAATTAGCCACCAGAGCTACTGTAACCGCCAACTCCACACTTAGAGCAACCATCGCCACTGCCGCCGCCACCGCCATTGTCACTGCCATTATCCTATACTTAAATTGATCCAAGTAGACCCACATTAATCAATTTTAAAACCAATACATGACATAAGATTTAAATAATCAAGTAGAACCACATTAACAAACTATAAAACCAATACATGACATAGGATTTAAATAACCTCAAACTTATTAAAGTCTCAAATTTCACTATTTTCAAGCAAATCCACATTAATCTACTTCAAAATCAATCGCTTGACGGTAAAAATCAATATGTACATATAACACTTGATCAATTACATTAACAAAGTCTAACTAAGCACAACATGAACATTGAAAATTTTTAGTGTTTTGAAAATTACCTAGCTATTCTCAAAAGCAAAAAAAATACCTAGTGACATGAGATCTTCCCATGACTGAAAAAAATAATATCAAATCATCATATACACAATTATAATTAGAAATACTCACAGTCACTTATATAAACCAACATCATTACACATATTTTGAATAAACTATCACCTGTCTGCCCTATGTTAGGATTCTCTTTAATTTTGCATGAGATAGGTGGTTGCACAATGAGTGGAACATGTGGCTGTGCATTGAGGGGGCTACTCCTACAACTGAAACCTACAACATACATAAATAACTCTCAATCATAACTCTAACACTCTAATAATCAAATTGAAATTGATATACATACACATCACTGATTAACAAATAATAACAATAGATACCTCTTTCACATTTGTCAACTTTTTAAAGATAATCACATCATTTTTTATTTCTAAATCACTCCATGCTCCAATGCGGGGAATGGATTGACATTTGATTGGCACAAAGGAAACCACTGTGGGTGTCAAGTGTTGAAGATAAAAAAATCTATAACAAGCAACTACTTTCAATTAGAATAACCAACAACAAACAACTATTCTTGATTTAAAACAAAAACAATAATACTAAGCACAAGATCTTTCAGGTACTCAATACATTACCTTGAGAACTAATAGACAACCACTAATGTTATTTTGTCCATATGTCTTATATTTTTTTTACCCCCTCAATCAGGGCATCAAACACCAACTTAGCCCAGTTCTTCGTTCCCAAAGAACCAACCTCCACCATATAATGGAGGAATGAGCTACTAATTGAGGTCTTTGTTGTAGGACACAATAAACATCCAAGTATAAATAAGATAAAAATACGCCAAAAGTCTTTTGAATCCACATTCATTTTATCCAATTTCTTATTCAAATAGTTCATTGAATATCTTTCATTCCAGTGAACATGGAATTACAGATTCCCTTTATTCTTTCATAGGGGCCATTCGTCTCCATATCTGTCCCCTCATATCTCAACCCCAATATGATTCTACATGCTTAGGAGAGAACTTTAAGGATTTTTCATAAATATTCAACACACATGAATTAGGGTTAAAAGTGTTCAACCACCATTCACACAAATCTCTCCTTAATATTTTGCATTTGAGGCTTAACAAACCTCCGAAACTAATCTCTTCAACCCCATATTTTTGTTCATCGCTAAACCTCTCTATTGCTTCCACCATCATTCCCGGTGAACAGCTGGTTCTCAATTGTACCATCAAACATTTGTCATTATACAACACACAAAATAAACACATGTTATACAAAAAATTTAGTATTATGATTTACCTTTTCTTTTGGTGTAGAATTCTTTTTGCAAAACTCTTTTTCTTTTTTTTGATGACTTTGTCATCTTTGTATATTTTTCTTTCTCACAATCTTCCATTGTAAGTCCAAGTTGTTTCATGAACTGAATGAGTGAGTGGAATTATTATACATACACGTATGCAACATATCCCTTCCACAGTAGAGAATTACCTAATATCCCTTACCCCATGACCAATTTTTTTATTTTCCTTTCCTTTCATTGTCTTCAAATAATCTTTGCTATAATGGAGAAATAACATCATCAATGGTATACAACTAAGATCAATAAAACTGGTTTAGTATTTAGATTATACAAATCTCTCACTAATAAAAAACTCATGAGTTTGTTGGTCGATTAGATTTACTTGAACTCTTCTTCTCCCTGAAATAAACAATTCACCGTTAACCATAAAAATAGTTTCATTTTTTTTGCTAAACAATAGAACTTATACAAACTAGGATTAAATAGAACTTACATTATAAATATTATGAACTGAGAATGAAATATTAGAGAAGAGGAGGAGGTTATCACCATTTTAGAAAACTTGAACGAGGAACTGAAATGAAGCAAAAAAGAAGAAAGACGAAAAAAAGTGAAGCAGTAACCCAACTATTTGCAGCAGCTAAACGTTTGGAAGAACCAAGAGGAATGAATTTGGGCGGGAAATGGGTTAGTATTGTGTTAAAATTTCATTCATCCATATGTCGGTATATTATTGGCCTATTGCCAATTGATATGGATCCAGATTATTGGACAAACCGTTTACATGTGATGTCGAGTTAGATATTTAATTTTTTTTGTCTGTATTATTTTTTTATGAATTATAATTCAAGTCAAATAAAATTGAATATTTTTTAAAAATTGATTTGATAAATTGAATATTTTTTAAATAATTTTAAATGTTAATTTGATTAATTGAGAATTAATTGGACGAATTTGAATATAAATTAGATGAATTCAATATTAATTTGAGTAATTTATTGTTAACTTGCTGAATTTGATTGTTAATTTAATGAACTACATGTTTATTAGATAAAATTAAATATTAATTGGATGAAAATTAAATGTTAATTTGATGTTAAATTGATGAATTTGAATATTAATTAGATGGAATTGTATGTTACCTTGGTGTTAATTTGATAAATTAAATCTTTATTGTTTGATTTGGAATGTTAATTTAATGAATTAAATATTAATTGAATGAAATTGAGAGTTTATTTGATTAATTTATTAATAACTATTTAAATTTAAATGTTTATTAAAAAAAAAATTTTAATTAGATGAAATTGAATGTTCATTTGATGTTAATCTGATGAATTGAATATTAATTTGATGAATTGAATGTTAATTTGATAAATTAAATTTTAATCGGATGAAATTGCACGTTGCTTTGGTGTGGATTTGGTAAATTGAATATTTATTAAATAGTTTTAGACATTAATTTGATTAAATGAGTGTTGATTGGAGAAATTTGAATATAAATTAGATAGAATGAATGTTAATTTGACATTAATGTGATTAATTTAATGTTTCCTAGTTGAATTTGAATGTTATTTTAATGAATTAAATGCCTATTAGGTAAAATTGAATGTCAATTTTGTGTTAAATTGATGAATTGAATATTAATGAGATGAAATTGTATGTTACTTTGGTGTTAATTTGATAAATTGAATCTTTATTGTTTAATTTAAAATTTTAATTCAATGAATTGAGTATTAATTGAATGAAATTGAAAGTTAATTTGATTAATTTAATGTAACTCGTTGAATTTGAAAATTAATTTAATAAATTGAATATTTAATCGATGAAATTGAATTTTAAGTTGGTGTTAATTTGATGGATTAAATTTTAATTAGATGAAATTTTATGTTAATTTCGTATTGATTTGATCAATTGAATCTTTATTAGATTGTTTCAGATGTTAATTTGAGTGTGAATTAGATGAATATAAATGTTAATTTGATGAGTTGAATGCTTAATAGGTGGAAGTGAATCTTAATTTGATAAATTAAATATTAATTTGGTGTTAATTTAATAAATTAAATATAACAAAGTTTTTCACCACTAAATAAATTACAACAAAGTTATCATATTTGGATGTTAAATTAACACCTCTTGGTGTTAAATTAAATTAGTTAAAAAAATCTAGGGTAATGTGAAACTAATTACATAGTTGAGGGTATAATATAAAAAATACGAGAGAAAAATTAAAAAAGAATGATAATTTAGGGATATAAGTGAAATTTATTTTGGACATGATCGCTAACTTGATTCCTACAACCAACCACGACCAATCCACACATGATCGCTAACTTGATTGCCCCAACTAACCATGACCGGTCCCTACATCGCTACAAGACCGATCCAGATCGCTACATCCGGTCAAATAGGGATCAACTCCTTCTTCTCTTATTCCCCCAAATCGAACTCCTCAACTCCAAATAGTTTTAATTCGAGTCAATTAAAATTGAATATATTTTTAAAAAATTGATTTGATAAATTAAATATTTTTTAAATAATTTTAAATGTTAATTTGATTAATTGAGGATTAATTGCACGAATTTGAATATAAATTAAATGAATTCAATATTAATTTGACGTTAATTTGATTAATTTAATATTAACTTTTTGAATGCCTATTAGATAAAATTGAATGTTAATTCGGTGTTAATTTGATGAATTGAATATTAATTAGATAAAATTATATGTTATTAAATTGAATCTTTATTGTTTAATTTAGAAAGTTAATTTAGAGTAATTAATTTAATGAAATTAAAAGTTAATTTGATTAATTTAATGTAACTAGTTGAATTTGAATGTTAATTTAATAAATTGAAGATTTAATTGATGAAATTGAATGTTAATTTGATGGATTAAATATTAATTAGATGAAATTAAAATTTAATATTAACTTATTAGTATAGATTTGATGAATTGAATTTTATTGGATTATTTCAGATGTTAATTTGTTGAATTAAGTGTTAATTGAATGTATATGAATATTAATTTGTTGGGTTTGAATGGTAGGTGAAAGTTAATTTGATAAATTAAATATAAATTGGATGAAAATTGAATGTTAGTTTAATAAAGTGATTTTTTATTGGATGTTAATTGTATGATTTTGGATATAAATTGAATAAGTTTAATATTAATTAAGTTGAATTTTAATGTTAATTTGATGAATCAATGTGTTAATGTAATATTAATTTGTTAATTACATGTTAATTAAATACTTTAGATGATAATTTTGATTGCTACTGCCAGGATCTTGATCGGTAGTCTTGATCCCACTCTTGATCAATAGTCTTCGACAGATTGGTCTCAGATCGCTATTTTATCGGTCGTGATTAGTTCGGTGTTCTTGATCGGTCATGATTAGATCCGATCGCTACTTGATTGCAGTGCAAGCTTGATAAGTCTTAGATTAGTTGTTCGATCGCTAGTCTTGCTCGCTACCCAACACTTGATTGGTTTCAGTGTTCTTGATCGCTACCTAACACTTGATCGGTCTAAGTGTTCTTAATTGGTATTTGATCGCAAAAAATTGTAATTATATTAAAAAAGTGGTAACCTCAGCTACAAAAATTTAGTAATTTTATCCAAAAAAAATTGTAACCTTCCCTAAACAACCGGTAACTATAAAAAGTGGTAATTTTACCAAAACAAATGGTAACCTTATAAGGAAAATGATATTCTTGATCAAAACAAATGCTAACCTTATTTTAGGGTAATATTAGCCAAACTAATTGTAACCTTACTCCAAAAAATGGTATTCTTAACTACCTCGAAAAGTGTTAATTAGACTAATAGATAGTAATTTATATAGTGTTAATTACACTTAAAAAAGTTGTATTCTTACACAAAAAAAAAAAAAAAGAGTTGTATTCTAACAAAAAAAAAGTGGTAATGTTAACCAAAAAGTGATATTCTTACCTCATTAGCAATAATTTTACTCTTAAAAAGTGATAATCTTTCTTAAAAAATGGTAATCTTACAAAAAAAATAGTGACAATCTTATCTAAAAAAATGATAATGTTAATAAAAAAAGTTGTACTGTTAACTAAAAAAAATAGTAATTTTAACCAAAAAAAAATGGTAATGTTAAAAAAAAAGGTGGTACTCTTACCTCAAAATTATAATCTTAACCAAAAAAAAATAGTAATATTAACCAACAAAGTAGTTATCTGAACAAAAAAAACGTTGTAATGAATAACCAAAAAAATAGTAATATTAACAAGAAAAAAATAGTACTCTTACCTCAACAGTGTAATGTTAACCAAAAAAGTTGTAATTTTAACTGAAAAAGTGGTAATCTTAACAAAAAAAAAATTATAATGTTAACCAAAAAAATAGTACTCGTACCTCAATAATGTAATCTTAATAAAAAAGAAAGTGATAATCTTAATCAAAAAAATAGTAATGTTAACTAAAAAATTGATACTCTTATCTCAACAATGTAATCTTACTCTCAAGAGTGATAATCTTTCCTAAAAATGGTAATCTTACCAAAAAAAAAGTGGTAACCTTGCATACTTAATATGATATTCTTACTAACCAAACCCCAATTACCCAATTGGAACCTTACTCCTCTAATTTTATTCTAAAAAAAGTTTTTAGTGTATAAAATAAGATTACTATAATCTTACCACAAAATTATAATCTTAACCAAAAAAAAAATAGTAATATTAACCAAAAAAGTAGTTATCTGAACAAAAAAAACGTTGTAATCTTAACCAAAAAAATAGTAATATTAACAAGAAAAAAATAGTACTCTTACCTCAACAGTGTAATGTTAACCAAAAAAGTGGTAATCTTAACTGAAAAAGTGGTAATCTTAACAAAAAAAAAATTATAATGTTAACCAAAAAAATAGTACTCGTACCTCAATAATGTAATCTTAATAAAAAAAAAAGTGATAATCTTAATCAAAAAAATAGTAATATTAACTAAAAAATTGATACTCTTATCTCAACAGTGTAATCTTACTCTCAAGAGTGATAATCTTTCCTAAAAATGGTAATCTTACCAAAAAAAAGTGGTAACCTTGCATACTTAATATGATATTCTTACTAACCAAACCTCAATTACCCAATTGGAACCTTACTCCTCTAATTTTATTCTAAAAAAAGTTTTTAGTGTATTTTTTTTTTATTAAAAATAAGATTACTATAATCTCAACCTACTAAATAATTTATAATCTCTAGAATGGTTCATAGGGATAAAAATAACTCTGCAACTCCATTTTTTTCTTCATTCTTATATGAGTTTTTTTTTATTTTTATGAATTTGTAAGACTTAGTGGATAGCCAGTAAAAAGTGATAGACTTCATCAACTGTTGAAAGTTCTTCATTATACATCTACGATAAATTTTGTTTTTTCGGTACTATACCGAAAAGTTACTCTCGGTACCCTAGTAGGACCCTTGAAATAAGGATATGCTTACTAAATTTTTTATTAAATTTTCATTCCCATTGACGTTATATAATTTTTTTATTATCAAATAAGTAAGTCTTATTAATATTCAACGACGGAGACTGTACGACCTTATTTAAGGTGAAAAATTTGATATATTTTTTTGGTAAGCATAATATTCCCCTTCACCATATAACAGTAACAGTACTATTTTATGTAAAATATTATACATATTTAATTAGTTATTATTCTTTGTGATGTCAATTTTTAAAAAATTAATTAATATTATATTATCTGACAAATAACTGGTGTGATGACTTTCTATTAAATTTGAACGTCACCTGAGAGTGCTGCTGCATACTTGATGATTACCGAATATTTTTATTCATGTCCGTGACCCTCTTGCTAGAGAGAAAACTATTTTTTTTTCTGAATATTTGTTAGTTTGCGGTAATAATAGACTTACGATTCGACAAAGTAAACTTTACTTAATAATTATTTTCATACATGATAATTACTAAATTAAGTAAAATTTATTTACTAATATGTTAATTTGTTATTTAACGATGACATCACGTATCAATAATGACATAATATCACCGCTTGCTAATATTTTCTTCGTGCATGACAAGCCATGCAGGTACAATCACATCATTTGTCAACAATATTTACATCCAGCAAATTTTATATTAAAATTAAAATATCAAATTCATATAAGCTTCATGACTGCTAAATATCAAATTACAAATCGCAACCTGGCTCATATCCTGGCGGCCGCTCCACGGCCAGTTGGTGCCACAGCTATTGTGCAAGGTTCGGGACATCATCGCTGCAGGTCCATAACGAAGCCTTAACCATGAACCACCTTCTGGTGCCAAGAATGGCAGAGCATACCATCATTCTCATCTAATCAAAGTAAGGGCACAGCACAACCAAAACACAAGCATCATTAACTATGAGAAAGTTTCCACTGATATATGCTTTGATTCACTGAGACACTAGCCACATAAATAAGAAGTTGCGACTAAAGTGCATTTTTACTGTTTAGTTCCGTTTTAAACAATTTTATAACCCTGTTACTACTTCTGCAACCCCAAATTCAAATCCTTCCCCAGGACTGGTGGTGCACAGGCAGACGGTATAAGAACTGCAGAATCATACACGACCACAACAGTAATGCAATTTGGAGAGTAGACAATCACAGAGCTATGAGTCAAGCAGTAGAGTCTGGAGATCCATAGCCATAAGGGTTCTTGCTGGCCCAGTTCCACTGATCTCGGCACATCTCCTCAATCCCGTAGCTTGCTCTGCATACACACCATATGCTATAAAGTATTCGAACTGAAGTGGCAGAAAAATATGAGACAATATTTAGACTACCAATTTTCAGAGTCCTGTGCCTGATTACTCATGGCACTTTGAATGACGGCTTTGTCATATCTTGGTTCTCATTTTTACAAAGTAGTCTAGTCATTTTTTACAAAGAAATCTAGTGATATAAGAAAAATCGGGTACCACCAGCACTGCTAACTGTTTATTAAAAGTAATTCGAAAACATATAAATAGATGCACACTGATTTGCATGGTAGTCAACACAAACCTCCAGTTCAATTCACGTTCTGCTTTTTCTGTTGATGCATATACAATCTCAGAATCACCAGGTCGCCGACCAGCCATCACAAGGGGAATTTTCTGGAATAATAAAGAACAAAAAATAAATTAGGCAAGCTGAGAACAATCAGTGCCCAACTAGAAGAGAAAAGACTACACATTCCATAGAAGACCATTATTTCTTTTTCCTTTCATTTGAACATCCTTTTGGAAGGAATATAATCCTCAACCAGGATGGAAGATTGCAGGAGTCTTATCTGCATACTACAAAGCTTTAAGAAACATAAAGGGGACCTAAGATTCTTCCAAAAGTATTGCACCAATTAAGAATGTCCACATATCCAATTATAGGATTCTGCTAACAAATTAAGAAAGTTTTATAGGATTATACAAAGCTTCATTGGTATTGGTGGACACCTTATTCAAAAAAGATGGCACAAAAGTGCCTAGTCTCACTTCGGTCTGGTTTCTACAAGTACCATATTTCTCATCAAACTTTGGAATTTCAAAATAACAACATCTCTTTGCCAAACACTGTAAAACTTTCAAGAAGAATTCGCAGAAACTCCATTTAAAAACCCTGGTTTGAATATGAAATTGGACTCATGAGGATTGAATCGGTATACTACTAAATTTCAAACCAAACATTTCCTGAGATGGTGACTGATCTGAACAATTTATTCAGGCTAGCATTATTACTCATCATTAATACGGAGAGAACATATAAACATTCATACATATGAGCATTCATAGATAAACATGTAGATGTGAGCAAAACTCAACATAAAACTCAGGTCTAGGAGCAGATTCAAAAATTCCAAGTAAAGAAAGGTAATACAATTCCAAATTTGTAAAATCAAAAAACTTAACTACAACCTTCGACAATTAATACCTTTCCAGATGCCTTCTCCAAAGCTGCTACCATTTCCAAAACTGATGTTCCTTTCCCAGTTCCCAAGTTGTATACTTCACAGCCTATCCTTACATATTTCAATAGACTTCAAATTGTTAAACTCTAGCAATTAGATATAGAGAAAGCAGAGTAATAGAACAATTTAACCCATTACTTAAATCCAACAGAATCTCAAATGCTGCTACCATTTTCAAAAATGATGTTCCTTTCCCAGTTCCCAAGTAGTATACTTCACAGCCTATGCTTACATGTTTCGATAGACTTCAAATTGTTAAACTCTAGCAATTAGTTATAGAGAAAGCAGAGTAATAGAACAATTTAACCCAGTACTTAATCCAACAGAAGTTATGTTCTTAGCTACACAATTCAAGAACTGCTCAAGTGACATCTTCAAATTTAATGTCATGAGTACCAGCACAGTGTAGCCGAGTTATTAGGAGGCTTCGAAATTAGTACACACGGGTCTCAGATCAACCCTACACCAAAAGTAACTTTATACCCAGGTTCTGTGGACTACCTCACATGCCCAAGGAGAAAGAGCCTTAAAACAATAGGAGGGTAGGTATATCCCATGATCCTCTGAAGTACATAAATTTAATTATGTAATAGCATCAATAGACTAGTGGGAACAGGTTTGTCCATGAAAAAGACACCAGAAAGAATGAAGATATTAATCTAAGAGAACATACCTATAGAAGGATTAGATAGCTTGTTCAATGCAGCAATATGCCCATCTGCTAAATCCACGACATGGATGTAATTACGCACCTGAGCAGTGGAAAAAAATATGCACCATCAAGATAAAACTTCAATTAACTGCAGAAGACATTTTAGAAACAATACATGAGGATATATTTAGATAATAACAAAACTTCAATTTTTTCAAAAAGCTTTACATGCACCATAGGAATCAAAATTCATCTGTATTCTTCATGTAAAGTATATGATGTTTTCATATATTTTCATCACAATTTATATTTCACCATGCTATTGATCACTTAGACATTCCAAAGATAGGATGAACCCAAAACCAGTAAAATCCTGGATGAAATTTCATGTCTAACATTTGATCTACACTATTAAGTCTATGACACTTCTGTTGATAATCCAACTTGAATGAACAGATTCAAAAAACAGGGCACAAAAGAATACATAGAATTTAAATGTTACCAATTTTTCAGCAATGAAAAAATATTAAATTTGCATCGTTTAGTGTCTTTTATTTATTTTTTCAAGGAAGGGGTGGGGAATTGGGGGTGGGAGCAGGATTGACACATAGCAAAATCACAATGAATCAGAAAGATCAAGAATACAAGCAGTTAAATATTGAAATCTGTATTAAACAAGCTATCCAGCCTAGAGGATATAGGCAGAGCCAGCTACCGTAGAGACCTAGATTGGGGTAGCACAAGTAGAGATTCGCCAAAATAAAATGCTGAAAATGAAGGGACCTACACATACATACAGCATCACACTAAACACTACACATAGAAATCAGGAACCACAGTGCAAAAGGCATACCCCTGTACCATCCTTTGTTGAGTAGTCAGTCCCAAAAACATTCAATGAAGGCCGCCTTCCAACGGCAACTTGCTGCACAAAGGGCATGAGATTGTTTGGGATACCACGAGGATCCTCTCCTATATAGCCACTTGGATGTGCACCCACTGGATTGAAGTACCGCAGCAATATGATTTTCCACTCGGAGTCTGAACGATAGATATCACGACATATCTCTTCAATAAAAAGCTGAAAGGAACAAAGATTATAAGGTAATATTATATCAGATATACTGAAAATAAGTCATATGATGGAACCGCAAAAGACAAACACATGCTACAAGTTCCAACTGAAAATACTAAAACCTCTTTGTTCTTCGAAATGCAACATTACACATGTTTCTTTAGTCTGGCCCAGTTTTATGATAAAAACATGCATGAGTTGAAGACTTAAATATACCTTGGTTCGCCCATATGGATTTGCAGCAGATAGGGGAAACTCCTCTGTGCATGGAACCTCGTTTGGCCAACCATAAACAGTAGCCGATGATGAAAAAACGAGCTGAAATGTTTAAACATTCAAATTTATGAGGCATCAAATCCCAACATCTCATAATATAAGGATTGCAAGAAAAAAGGACCGCTTAATGGAAAATCTAGAAGCTAAAAACACAACCATTTGGCAGGAATACTGATTAAAATGACGAGAGAATTAAATGGATTCGCAAACTTTATTAATGCAACCATTTGAGCTTTAACCAACAGTCTTATCTAAACAGCCATAGAGTCATGCATCAAAGGCATACACACGATTAAGAAACCTTGTGATGAAGAGTTCAGGTATTTATATCAAAATTAACCTTGGGCAGGGGCAAAGCAGCTGCGCTTCTGATTTCCACACAATTTTTTTTGTTATGCAGGCTAGCAATTCAACCATAATAAATCAGGTTGAAGATGAAGCATTTAAAGTATGTATTGACATGAACAACTTCAAAATTAAGTTGTACGAAAAGCACGTATGTCTGCTACACAGAACCTGATAATCTACATAATATGCGTCTAAAAGACATGAAATCCTAAAATTTCTCCATAAATTGCAATTATTATTTTCTCCCTCCAATCAATCAGCAGCTGGATGGCAAAGATTAAAATGAGGGGATTCAGAGAGGAAACCATAAGCTTGAGATTAACCCCAATAACACATTTCCTAAGTACTGATTCAAACGAGCTACATAGTATGAAGTATGCATAAGGGATGTACCCTTTTACATCCATGGGCAGCCATGACTTCCAACAATGTAATGGTACCAATGATGTTATTGTTATAATACATAAAGGGTTTCTCCACACTTTCACCAACTGCTTTCAATCCAGCAAAATGGATGACAGCATTGAACCTGTGTGCAAACCAGGTGGCCAGGAACAGAAGAAATCAGAGGGTATAAAGTCAAGCAAGTGGGACTCAAGCAAAGAAAGACTTACATAGTGCATACACGAATTTATTTTCTCTTTTTTGGGGAAAACATATCTTTTTCATGTTAGTTACGCCCATATAATTGGATTTCATACATCATTTATTTGTCATACCAAGTAATAAACAGTGGGAAATGGTTGGTACACGCACTGACGCACTTAATGGACTAACAAGTCTGGATTTGTTTCTTTCAATGGAGCTATTCAGTGATACATTGCCTAAATATATAATAAATCATATAACACAGTAAACCTTACTTTGTTGAAGCAAAAAGTTGCTCTAGTGCAGGCTTATCCCGAAGATCAATCTGCGCATACGACATAATTATATGTTAGAGACATCAATTAAAATAATAAAACCAGTAGACAACAAATAGATTACTGTTGGAGTATATTTCCGGCATCATAGGAAAACTCATATTGAGATCACGGTTCAAAGTATCGGCCGAGTCCGATACGACTCGGCCGAGTCGTATCCGACTCGGCCATAGACGATACGATAACGGTACACGAATCGAAAGATTGACGAATTTAACTTGTATCGGCGATATCTCGACGATATCTCGGACGTCTCGGCCGAAATCAAATGTGTCGGTGGAAACTCGGTTCAACTCGGGCGACGCGATTCGGAATCCTTCCGAGTCGAACACGACAATAGAAAAATTCCAAAATCTGACCCACACCTCTGCAAAAGATTATCAACACTCCTTCATTTTTTTGAAAAAAGAACAAAAATCCAAAAAAAAAAAAAGGGGATGGGAAATAAAGCAGACCTACTGCCAGACTACCCATTGAAAAACTCAACACCCATGTGAAAATTGCAGAAATCAGATGAACCCCAAGGCTGCAAACCCCTATAAAAAATCAAGATTACTACCATACCTGTAAATCAAACCTTGAAGCATCTTCTTCATCTGATCTTGTGTGTCGTTCTTGTTCGATTCTTTGTTATGCTTGTTCAACTCTTTGTTGAGACGATTTTCTTCGGTCGCGAGGAACTGCACTGCATCTCTCTGTCTACGACTCTGGGTGACTCTGGGCAACTCTGGGCGACTCTGGGAAGTGAGAAAGACGAAGAACTTAAAATAGGTAGGAAAAAAAAATAATTTTTTATTTTTTACGGAATGTTTATATATTTATTTTTGCCTTAAAAGTAACATAAAAATAGTAGTTCAAATGGGTGGTGTTGCAAATTTAGCCGCAAGGTCTTTGGTTCGATTCCCTGCCTCACATGTAGTCTGGTTTGTTTTTTTAACCGAATATTTATATATTTATATTTGCCTTAAAAGTAACATAAAAATAGTGGTTCAAATGGGTGGTGTTGCAAATTTAGATGCAAGGTCCTTGGTTCGATTCCCTCCCGCAACATGTAGTCTAGTTTTTATTTTTTTATTTTTTATAGAATATTTATATATTTATATTTGCCTTAAAAGTAACATAAAAATAGTGGTTCAAATGGGTGGTTTTGCAAATTTAGTTGCAATGTCCCTGGTTCGATTCCCTGCCTCACATGTAGTCTGGGTTTTTTTTTTTTGTTTTAACCGAATATTTATATATTTATATTTGCCTTAAAAGTAACATAAAAATAGTGGTTCAAATGGGTGGTGTTGCAAATGTAGATGCAAGGTCCTTGGTTCGATTCCCTGCCGCAACATGTAGTCTAGTTTTTATTTTTTTAATTTTTTATGGAATGTTTATATATTTATATTTGCCTTAAAAGTAACATAAAAATAGTAGCTCAATTGGGTGATGCAAATTGTCATTTGCAGAACAGTGGTTCGACTCCTCCAAGACAAACATGCGTTTTTACATTATTGTCATATCTTCGATGAAGGTTCAAGAGCTTGATGTGTACATATCTTCGATGAAGGTAAAATGGCCTCAGTATGGTTGCACAATCATGTCTGATGGGTGGAGTTCTAGAACAAAGAAATCCATTATCAATTTCATGATTTATTGTGACCGTAATATGATTTACCATACATCAATTGATACCACAAATATTTCAAAAACTGCTGACTATATTTTCTCTCTTATGGATAAAGTTGTTGATGAAATTGGAGAAGAAAATGTAGTACATGTAGTAACCGACAATGAGGCAAGCTTTAAAGCAGCTGGTAAGATGTTGATGGATAAAAGAAAACATTTATTTTGGTCTCCTTGTGCAGCTCATTGTATTGATTTGATGCTGGAAGATATTGGTCATATGAAAGCAATCAAGGAGACCATAGATGATGCTAAGACGATCACATCTTTTATCTACAACAGTCTCAAAGTGGTCAACTTAATGAAGCAACATACCCGAGATAGAGATTTATTGAGGCCAGGTATAACACGATTTGCCACTGAATTTATCGCCATTGAAAGTCTTATTCGTTATGAATCGGACTTGAAAAGAATGTGTACCACCGATGAATGGCGTGAGTTCAACAAAGACAAGACGAGGAGAAAAACAAGAGATATAGTCTCAAATCTTATTTTGACTGACCAATTTTGGAAGAAGGCTAGAGAAGTTCAATCTGTCATGGAGCCTCTTGTTAGAGTCTTAAAAATAGTTGATCAAGACAAAAAACCAACTTTATCAATTATCTATGAGGCAATGGACAGGGCTAAACTAGCCATACAACATTCAGTCAAAAATTGGAAGAAATACTGGGCTGTGATTGACAAAAGATGGGAGATCCAATTGCACAGACACTTACATGCAGCAGGTAAAAGTATTTAAAAATATAAATAGTTGATCATTGTGTATTAGCTTGTAAAATATTATAGTTTTTCACTAACTTACATTAAATTATCAAAAATTTTGCAGCTTATTTCTTAAATCCAGTTTTTCAGTATTCTAATCATTTTTCCAACCATCCTGAGGTAAGATCTGGTTTGAAAGAGGTTATTAAAAGATTGGAACCAGATTTGAATAAACAAGCAAGGGCAATGAATGAGGTATGACGATTTTTGATAATTTTTTATTATAATATGTGTATATATTTGTCGTTTACGTAATACATTACACAATAAATTGCAGATCAAATTATATACTGACAAACATGGCGAGTTTGGGAATGCACTCACTAGAAAAGCTGTACATGCCTCCCTTCCAGGTTTATTATTTAAACTATATGTATTTAGTAAAGTATCATTTGTTACTCTTATGGTCAATACTAATATTGTACAGTTTTTTTTTTTTGTAGCTGAATGGTGGATCAATTATGGTGACGAAGCTCCCCATCTGCAAAAAATTGCAGTCAAAGTTTTAAGCCAAACATGTTCATCATCAGGGTGTGAAAGAAATTGGAGTACATGGTCGCTAATCCATACAAAACTTCGCAACCGATTGGCAATGAAAAAGCTACATAAGCTAGTTTTTGTGCACTACAATATGCGGTTGCGAGTTAAAAATTTGACATATCAGCGTGAAAATGATGATTTTTATAATCCAATTGATTTGAACTGTATTTTTAATGATGATGATATATTAGATGAGTGGATAAGAGAAGGGGAGGAATCAATTTTACCACCTGATAATTTAGGTTGGCTGGATGAAGGTATTCGTGACATTGAAGAAGGTGGAAGTGGACGAGATGTAGTTGATGAAGGTGACACTAATACGGCACCAACATCTAGCAATTATGCCACTACCAGAAGATCTGAAAAAGATACGAGGCCAACTAATAAGGGTAAAAAGGCTATGAGAATTTTTGTTAGTTCTAGTGATTCTTCTTCTGATGATGATAATGATAATAATGTTGCTGATACTTATGGTGGTGGTGGTGGTGATAGTAGTAGTACTGATGATGATGATGCTAGTAATCATGGTGGAGATAAAGATGAGAGCAACAAGAGTGATGGTGGAGGGACTACTGGAGATGGTAGTGATACTCAGCTACCTGGCGGTATGTCATGGGCACAGGGGCAAGACAATTACTATGCCACACAGGATACAGACCATGGATATAGACCAGGGGCAATGAAACAACGAAGGAATTTAAACTCTTCCATTGGTGATGATTATTCCCATAGACGCTACCATCATTCACTTAGTCGACAAGATATTGACGATCATATGCAGAATTTGGGATTGACATCATATGAAGGATACATGTCTTACGGACATCATCAAAGTAGTGGTATAGAATCTAGCTATTCACATGGATCATATGGATATGGTATCCCTTCGCAGCTTTCGAGGTCTACTAGTACTAATAGTGCTGGGCATTATGGCCATCGCCCTACGCATCTTGAGAGATCTACTAGTACTAGTACTGGTGGTTACTATGATCGTGTTCCAAGGAGACATCATGATGGATCTTCTAACACAACATCGGATAGTGTCAACTTTTATGGATATGATCAGTCTTCTGCTAGTAGTGGCCGTGAATATCGTGGTTTTGGGTACTATCAGTATGGGAACCAGCCAGTACAACCTCCACAGTCACACTACTCTGATTATGGGTCATCTAGTCAATCAATTCAACCAACCCAATCAGACCTGTATTCACACTTGTACTCTAATTCTTATGGTAGACAGTACCATAATTTGTATTATCCTAGAGACAATAACGACGATTTTGAACCTCATCGTCGTTCAATGTGGCAATGATTACAGCTCAATATGTTCCTAAATGTCTACATTGAACATTGATAATGATAATTATTTTCGCTCGTGATTTTATGTTTCATTTTAATTATGTTTAATGTGTTTTTAGATGTATTGTGGATATATGATGCATAAATGATAATGTCTATTTTTTTAGAATTTTTTTAAATTTTTTTGGAGCTTCTATCTTGCATTTTGAGCGTATCGTCCGATACCGCGCCGCGACGCCGCGACCGATGTGTATCAGTACCCTCCGAGTTCATGGCCGATACCGCTACTTTGAACCATGATTGAGATATAATCCTTGCAACACAAAATAACAGAATGCAAATACAGATTCTCACCCTCGCATACATGTAACCATCCATCTAGCCATCTCTCTCTCTCAATAACAAACTTATCAAGCACAGACCAGTGCGCCACAATTTCCCACGCATTTATATAGTAGGGTGGCTATGGTACATTCACCAACATAAAGATTTCTTGAAAGTCCATCCCAGAAAGCCTTAATGTTCTACAATTAATAACAACACCGGGCTCTTTGAGTCTAGTGATTGGAATGAGTACAATCTAAATCCCTTAATGAAAATCTATTGGAGGGCAAGTCTAGAAGGTCCAAGTGAAAGAAAAACCTAACTTTACAAGGATCCAGAAACTTGAAAAAATGTTTAAGGCTTTCTTCCACCTAGCCACCAATCGACACACCTAATATAGAATCTACCCACATATAAGCTACATTTATTTAAAAGAAATGTGTATGTTACATAATAGAGTATATGGAAAGTATATAAACCAAATTACAAACTTTAAATCCCAGATTACTTAGAGAAGGGTTCAGAATAGTGATACAATCGTGGTTTTAGCAAAAAATCAAAGAAATTAAAACTTTTTAGTTACCATTAACTTTTTTATATACATAGAATTGTCTTCTTGTAAGCATATAATCCCAAAATAACTTTATTTGTTTCCATCAATAGGACAGGATCATATCAATCAGATCATATCAATCAGTAAGAGATATCAAACACTGTATCAAGCACACATAGATGATGACCCACTGTTTCTCATCAGAACACAAGTCCATGGAAACTCATAGGTGGTGCTTGGATCACCATAAAAGGATTGGATTGGATTGGATTTGAATCCGAACTCAATTCAATCTAATGTAAAGTAGTCCGGATTGGAGGATTATAAAGATGAGATTCTAATACTATCTCATGTTTGGATAGGTTTTATTTGGTTTGTGGGCCCCATTCACATGTGAAGCTAAGTCATGGTAAAAAGACCATTTTACTCGTGTACAACAATGTGATCCAATCCTACACCATGTTTGGAATGAAATGAAAAAAAAATTCAATCCATTAGTATTGTCTATTTTACATCCAAAAATATTATTAAATATATTACGCATTTATATACACTATTGCATATTTTTATTTTGTAAAAATTATTTCATTTAATTTGTACAGTACACTTTTTATCACAAAAATCATATGCATCATGGAAAAAAAATTTATTTCCAACACAAAAATAATACAACATATCGATACAACTCAAATCTAAGTCGTTATTTGTTTATTTGTTGAAAATCCGAACTTGTGTGTTTAATAATAAACTTAATTGTTAATTTTCAATAAAGAGCAAAATTAATCCGAACCATATTTAATATTTTTAATGAACAAAATGCAATTTATTATGCAAAATGGTAGGGCATTTTAATATTATTGCATGAAGCACTAGCACACATCATGTCAATTTAAATTATGTTGTTTTAATTAATACGTTAATTTTATTTACATTTTTTGTATAAGGAAAGGAAAGGATGAGCAAAAATATTAAAATCATAAAATTTAATATTTGTAATGACACGCAACTCCCCAGAACAATTATTATTTTTAATGTGACCCAAACCATTTCATTAGACCGAATATTTTCCCACACTTACTTTCAAATCATGACCTTCCATGCTACATTTTGGCAATTATGAGAGAATTTATAACAGTATTATTTTACTTCAAAATTATAACAGAGTTATGTGGTAAATTTTAAATAATGACCGGGGGTAAAGTGCAAAAAAATCAAACCACAGCCGCATTAACTAGATTTGAAGTTGTTTAAAGTGGTCATCTTCACTTGCAAACTGTGGAGATAGGTCCAGATGCTTCGGCTTCTACATCAGGGAGAGAAAAAGACAAACATGAAATACAGAGAGAGAGAGAGACGGACTAAGGGAGCTGAGCAGTCGCCTGATACTACCCAGCATCTGGAAAGCATTCCCCCGCCTGATACTAGCCCATCGCAGTCGCCTCATGAGGAGATGAATCGACCATTATAATGGAGCTGGGCAGTCTGATAACCCGCCTGATCAGGAAAATGAAGGGAATGGTGGTAAAAACCCTACAATTTTACTGTAGAGGGTATTTTAGAATTTACACAGGTAATCCTACTTCACAATTTCACAATCCCTCACAGCAGAAGGGATTTCTTTATCACATGCAGATGAGATTGTAGCCTTCAAAACATACGGCCGATGTTTTGAAACCCAACGAAAATCCTATCCCAATCGAATTACCCAAACCAAGGATAAATGGACCCCATTCGCAATTTCAATCCAATCCCCCTCTAATCCCCCCATATAGATTATGTATATATATATGTACAAGTACATAAATTTAAATCACACACAGGTACTGTGCGATTGAAGTAAACTTGCAACAAACCTGATGAAAGGAAAGGTTGTGGCCATATTCAGCAGCGAGTTCTTGGACTCTCTTGATCGCAATATCGGAAGAGTTATCGAGATTGTCGACCAAAACGGGTTTATATCCTCCCAATAATAGCTGAAGCACGGTGTGGCTTCCAATGTACCCCGCACCACCTGTCACCAATACACTCTGCGCCATAGTTTCAACTGTGTATGAGAATCAAATCTCCTCCTCCACCTTGGATCTGTAAATGAAGGAGAGGAGAATTGGGTTTGACGCTTTTTGATTTAGGACATTTTGACCAGAGATTCTTTGTATGCACGTGAATACGAGGACTAAATATGGAAGTACAGGTGATTTCAAGAATAATTCTAAAAAAATTCGTTCGGGGAAGACGACTAGGTCGGCCACGTGGTTAAGGTTAAACCGACATTGTAGGGAATTCTCCTCCTGTTTGTAGAGAAATCCCAAGCCCCGGCCTCTGTCTGCGGCGTGGCGCGATAATATATGAATTGACTTCTTTACCAATTACTAATTAGAGATAACTATACAGATGATGACCCCCCAAATTATGTCATTTATTTCAATTAAGCCTTTAAATTAATTTTTATATTAATTTAATACATATAACTCCCCCATCTAAATTCACTATTAGTTTTAATGAAAACCTTCACGTGAGTTAAGAATTGAGATCGTTAAACCTATATACCCGAAGTGCACGTGGGACTCTATGTTAAAATTAACAATAAATATAGACTCAAAAACTACATTGAATTAAATTATATAGTTGATGTCTTAAATTGACAAATAAATAAGTTTAATAGCTTAATTAACTTACTATATAACTTAAGGGTTGTTTGTTTAATTTACTATTATAATTAAGGATATGATTCTTTTATCAGTTATCAACTCTATATATATGTCCAATAAGAATTTTTTTTTTTTTGCTGGTTAAAAAAATGGTGGGAATAAAGAAAATAGCTCAAAAACTACTCCGATAGATTTTTATTGGTGAGATCATGAGACTATTAAACATGTCCGTTGCTCCTCTCAAGAATAAAGTTAGTTAAAATAATATAGCGGTCAACCATTAAATTTTAATGTAAATTCTAAAATTTAAACTTTGAAATTGGGTTGATACTCCCCCGGACCCCACTCGGTGCTCTCCGATAACAGATTCTAAGTACATAAAATTTTGCCAATCCATTTTCGTTGTAAAACCATAAAAAAATAGAACTTTCTGTGGTCTATTCAGCCTTTAGAGTACCCTTAACAATTTGTGTCCATTTTCCCAGTTATGACTTTCGTTGAATTTTATAAATATGGTCCAAATATCTACAATTATAGAAATTTGGTTCTACTGTTTTTCAAAAAAGTAAATAAAGTTCTACTATTCATTCTTTTTTTACATTTATGTTTACTAATATTCTCTCCAGTTTGATTAAAAACAAACTTTCTATACTGAGATTAGAGTATTCATAAGAAATAAATCATTTATGGTCTGACCTCAAGAACTTATCAAAATTCGAATTTAAAACATCTGAATATATAACTCGTTCTTGTTATCGGTCAAAATACCCTAGGGTTTCTACTTTCTACTATTCTTTCAACCAAGCTAATAGAATCACAATTTTATTCCACTGTTGCACCATATACAAGAAATTCAAAAAGCTATTTTATCTTTGATATAACTATCTTATTTTTTTCTGGGAATTGATTGCTGAATTGACGAATTAGTTATGCTCCATTTGATAAGAAAGATGAAAAATAGAATTGATACACTTTCTATCCTCTAAAGAAAGAAAGAAAGTGTTTAATATTCATAAAAAATAGAAGGATGAAAAAATATAAATACATAATATATAATTGATAAATATGATATATGTATATATCAAATGATATATAGACAAATAACATATATTTTAACACATAATTAATTTTTCGTTCATTTTCTTCATAATTTTGAAGGGATTGATTTTGATGAATTAAAGGAAAACTAATACATCCACTTTTCTATTATTCCTTTTTTTCTTCTTGATCAAATATGATGTTTTATCTATCATTTCAACTTTTCATTCTTCTATTTTTTTATCGTATCAATCGGAGCAATAGAATTATAAACAGATTAACACAAGTTAGCTGGTTTTAACAGGATTGACATGCCAAAAATTGAATGTTGTTCCAACAACTCCCATGATTTTATGACGTTCTAAAATTATCTTGTCGAGTACTTGAACCCTATAAGAGGTACAAGGCCAATCTCTATCTACATTTACGTGTAATTACGAATACAAAGCAAAACGTACTTCTGTCCTAGAGATTTTTGAATCCAATTTTTTTTTTTTCAGTTCTTGAATTTTTTAACCAAAATAAAGATAAGGTATCAAGCCACTGGATAATTTTTTATTGTTTATCTCAATAACAAAATTAATGGCCGCATATCCCATCAATTGAGGCAAAGTTATACTAAATAAAGAAAGTTGTCACGATTGTTACTTTCTTCTAGAATCTATAAAGCTTTTCATGTTTAGTGTGGATTATGAAAACTTCAGCCATTTCATCTGTCTAAAGAGTAGTAGTAATTTTGGTTATTCAAATCTTTACAGCCAAGATAAATATTCGTCGTGTATTTGCTATTCACTAAGTAAAATATTGTATTAGCAAATTCATGACTCATGCCCGCAAATTATACTTTTAAGTTTACGAATAACTCGTGAAAATCTATAACAAATTTTCATTTGAAATGTGGATTATGTACAATTTATGTCAAGTTCACCCATGCTTACGTACTTGTATATTAGTTAATCCAAAGTTTATTTACACCAACAGTGTTATGCTACATGAATTTACTATCTAAATATTAGAATATAACATTAATGGTAACACATCCCATCAATTAAGGAATACTTTATGTTATACAAAGAAAGTTGCACTTACCATGTGAAGACATCATTCTTTGCTACATATGCCCATGCATAATTGAATTTCTTCTTCATGTAGGCCGCTGAATTACACAATATTGGGCAGCAGTCATTAGAAATGTTCTATTGATCCAATGAAGGAAATCGCTGGGAGTAGAGAAGTACGATTAGAGAGAGATGATAAACCATCAAAAACATAATGCTGACTCAGGTAAATTACCAATTATCAGTCTACTGTCCATTTTGTGGGCATGGGTTCTGAAGTAAGATGTCTCTCTGCCACGTCATTTGCGTCAGCTCAGAGCCTTGGAGACCCCATCTCTGCATCAATTTATAAATTATTAGTGTTTGAATTGATCCTGCATATCTGGGAGATACAACCTAAATTATCCTTCCCATTTTGAAAAATGAAGGGAGACTACCTAAGAAGTCACCGAGCCTTGTTTAGAAAAGCCCTTGAAAATGAGTTGAACTGAAAATCATTTCATCTTTTGTAGTCACATTTTCCTTGATTGGTTAAACAATCATGATTAGGCTAATTTATAATTCCTCACATATGCTAAAAGCCAATGGAAATGCTCTGAGTAATGAGAGCATGCTGCATGCCTCTATAAGAGTTTCAAGCTCTATGACTTGCTCTATCTGTTCCAGCACACACGAATAACTGAGTTCAATAACCGCTGAGTGAAATGTTGAAGGCAAGGCAATTCGTGTTCCATTTAAGATAAAAGTAACAAGGGTATCTCAAAAGAGCTGCCCAATAAGCTGATAGTTTTTCATACAGAAAACAAATCAAGTGAAGAAATATGGACAAAGTGACACATACAGCATTGCTAGCCACTTCGACAGCAAGAACATCAGAGTCCATCTCTACCGCCTACCCCAATGTTGATCATTGAACATCATGCATTACGTTATGACATAAAGATCAGAGGAGTTCAAATATTTGCAAGTGTTGTATTTCTTCTTTTGGTAATTTGTTACACAGAGTATATTCTTGCGAAGGTTTCCATCAGTTCCATCTGTTTTTTGAGATAATTTTGCAAGCCTTTGCGCATGCTCTTGGTTCTACGTCTCCTAACACTAAAAAACAATAAATATGTTTGTTCGAGACTAGTTGCCTTTAACCATTATCCTTTTTCTAATAAATTCAAAACTGTGATAGAATTATGGAGTGCTAGAAATGCTCACAAGGTGTTGCCGATACAAAGGTTCTCCCAAGGCAGAAATTTTTCACTCCAATTAGCACATACGAACCAACATACAAACCTGTACAAGAAACAAAAACCAACCTCTGGAAATGAAACATCACGTGTAATCAAGTGTCAAAAACTAGTGAAAAGAGGAATATAATGCCATTTGCCTCACAGGTCAGTCCCAGAATGTTCTTGAACTTGTCGCAGGGAATAAGAAAAAATATTGTAAAATATGAGTTAGGCTACCATTTGCCCCCGAAAGCTGAAATGATTACATAATGAGCTCGGCATATATTAAGCTCTCAACACTCTCCCTCACATGCAACTCTGTTTCAAATGAAGAGAGAAACAAATAAGGGAACATATGGCAAACATAGTGACTGAGTGGGGGTAAGAAACACATGAGATGACTCGACCAGAAGACCTTATGAAGACAAAATATCGATGGCATGTTAACGGTGGATCTTCTATATTGGAGAAAGAGTTCAACAATGTCTATCAAGCTCTCGAATGTGCATGTATTTCTAGTTCGTTGTTTACATCCTTCAAGCATAAGGGAATATAGATTAAGTTGATGCATGTAATCAAAAACTCAAATCTCAAGAGCTAAAATGACATAGAGAGAATTGATTTCACAGAAGTTACGTCATGTCTCATGTGCGTTGATAGCGCTGACAAACACTGCACATAGCAAAACACCATCAACTTTCAATGTAAACTTCCACTATCAGGCCACTCAGATCAAAACAACTAACTAGGGAAGTAGTAGACCACAAAAATTCATGAGTTCTAAAGAAGGATACATCATTTTCAGCCGCTTCTTTCAAATCTTTTATGCAAGATTGAAGTATCTCATACTGAGATAAAATTGAGGAAGCTGCCACCATAATAGCCCAAGACGAGTATAAATAACGTATTTCTAGACAAGAATTCCTAATAAAATTTAGGCGAAACTATATTGGAAGATGAATGAAATTTTCGTGATTGCTATAAATGATTAACGATATCTCAAGAGATGGAAAATTGTGCATTGTGTTTCAACCCTAGATCACTTCAATTTGCCTTTTTAGGCAATTCCCTCAATCAGCAGCCTAAACATGTTCTATTGGTACTATACTTGTCTGTGTATTTAAGTTTGATTTTTGTTCTACTTTTCATTTTTCACCACACACACACATACAGAGCAGTTCCACCGCTCCATGCACGGACCTCTTACACCACCAACTGGTCCTCATATCAAATTTTGATGAATTAATTCAAGCAAAAAATATCAGAAATTGCAAATGTAGTGCATCGAAACATCAAATATAGCATTCAAAGTTGAGTTATTCGCAGTGCACACGAAACTCAAGTCTAGCAAACTGGAAATTCATCCAGTTTGCGTACACATTGCTCTAGTTTCATACAATGCCGTACATACGACTGTGTGTAATATGTATATCCAATATACTATGCATTTCCGAGCACAATCGCAGCCGAAATAATTGGACAATGAAGAAGAGCACAAATGCAAGAATCATAGTCACTTCGATGTTGTAGGAGAGCTTCAGAATCAGAGCTGTGTGTGTGTGTGTGTTGAGAGAGAGAGAGATGATTCGTGATTGGGCGTCAATGAAGATTGGATTAGGAATAAATAATGTGGAGGGAAAGGAGAGTGATGATGGTGTGAAGCGTGCCGTCGATTTGTGGGGCATGAATGATAACGCCCGAGAAAACAAGAGTTAAAAAAGCTCCAATAATGGAGGTGCGGGGAATCGAACCCCGTGCCTCTCGCATGCGAAGCGAGCGCTCTACCATATGAGCTACACCCCCATGTTGTTAGGATGATGAATTTAAATTATTTAATTACTTTATTAATAAATTTTGAATATATAACAATTATCAGACTCAGAACTTGAAAATATAATCGACAAAAGTCTAAACACCATATAATAAATAAAAAAAATATAGAACAAGGTTCATCATATTAATCACATTTGATGAACGATAGATTTGGATATCTTTCCAAGGTTACAATGACATATAGATGAAATTACGACTTAGTCTGCTAAATTATAACAAAATAAAGTCATTTAAGATCGATGTTAAAACTGTCAAATAGAGTTCTAGTGATTGGTCATAGTATTGTACGCCCCAAATAACTGGACAGTGACCTGCCTGATTGTTAGAAGGATTAAATTTTGGAACCAAAAAATAATTTCTATCATTTTATTATTTCTGGCTACAAATAACCCAAAACTTAGACCTCCGTACAAAAATCATAAGATGATTTCAGCCCGTGTCATTTTGCGAATGGATAAAGAATGGAGCTCTGGTACCAAAATAATATTTTTCAGTAACAAAGTCCAACCCCTGAGAAGGCTATTATGGTACTATGCTACCAGCCTTGTCTATGTAACAGAATAATCTGTCTGCCAAGAACAGCCTGCCTGCCTCCCTACGTCTTTGATCATTATTGTTTCTGAACCACCAAGCAACAACGTGAAAGCAAATGTTGAATGGTATGAAATCCCTGGTACTCGTTCAACCATCAAACGCCACTGCTATGACAAGATCCAGTTGCCATGGCTTAGAAACCATAAAAAAGAGTAAACCAACTATCCACCACATCAGTGCAGTAAATAGCTAAAAAATAAAGGACTACACCAATGCTGATCGCTTTACCCCTTCCAATTCGAGCATGGATTTTTTGTGATACATAACAGTAGCACAAACTTAAAATACACAAGTTCATGGATCAATAGTCTAACCAAGCAAGAAAATTAAGGCACCAAAACAAGCATCTTCCATACTCCTTTCTCAAACACCCTCAGAGAAAAGCCCAACCACAATGCAAATACTATTCAGCAAGATCAAATGTCAGTTCCTTTGTCCCATTCAATAGACAAAAATAACTATACAGAACAAATGCAAATGAATTAAAAAAGAAAAAGAAAAAGAAAAACAGTGGTTGCAAAATGAGATGAAACGGGTTCAATCACATTCACAATGAATCCAAGGTACATAGATTGGCTGTCCGCCCAGTAGTTTAACATGCAAACATACGGTAAGCACAAACATCTTTTACTTGAATGAAACTGAGTTTCCCAATCTAGCTGTGCATTTGTAGTTGGTATCAATTGCCAAATCGACCTCTTCCCCACTGCCACCTTCGCTGCCCACCACCTCCATTTTGTCTTCCAGCTTTATGAAGTTGAGAGGACATGTTCTCCCTCTGTTCTTTCATGTTTGCAAAAAGTGAATCTAGTGTTTGAGGTCTCTGCTTGGGCACCACCTTCACCTGCTGCTGCGACTGCTGCACATGGATACAAGCCTTGTGAATTTTGTCCTGAATCACATAGTTGTAACTCTAAAAACCTTCCACTTGAAAACATCAATCAAGAAACAACTAAACAGACTGAAAGAGAACCAGACGCAAGCAAGCCCAAAACTATTCTAAGACCGGATAACCAATATGATTTTGGAACACATAAAAGTCACCATCACCAAAGACTGTTACATAAAACCAGCACTTCATGACTTTTTCAGTCATTTGAAAGAAATCGAGACTTTGTTGTTAGCAGCTCGCAAAAATGGCTAGAGTTCAAATCACATATCATGGGTGTAATCAATGGGTTACCAGAAACCTTAAGTAGATGTATATGGCATTTCTTTCATAGGAACATCAATGTATAACTATTACTCCAGCCTGTTAATGCAGAATACAAATAATGATACCTTCATGGCAAAACCTCCATTTCCAGCCTTCCTCTGACCTGGTGGAGCCCCAACCCTGCACACAAAGTAAGGTACAATTGGAGGACTGTTGCGTATGATCATTATAAAGAATTCCTACCAAAGAAGTGAGGACCACACAACCAGCCAGCAGAGACCCTATGGAGCAGCACAACCAACGAAAACCACTTGGTCTATCTCCTTCACAAACCCAGTTACAGGAGTCTTCTTGTGTAAAACTTCCAACTCGGCATGAAGAAGAAATTACACCCCGCATATGCCATGATAGCTTTGGCAGGCTTTGAACATAAAAAATTGCAACCACATGTAACTCGACTCAAACAAAATCAACAGAACCATCAATGCAACTATCAACCACAAGAGGCTCCTGAAAATAATAGTATGTACATTTATGCTATATATGTACACCTGGACCCCAAAATTTCCACATCAATCAGCTTGCACACGGTAGTCAAGTATGGAGGGTTAAATAGAAAAGCTTGTAATCATGTTCGGTTGCCAAGACGACCCATTTCAAACTACGATGTCATTGTGCCAATTCCATGTCAAGGTGCTTGAAAGCAGATAAAGACTATCTGTTTGGTGGAAAACAAATTTAAAACGGCAAAGGAATATGCAGAATTTGTGTCAGAAAATAGGACAAAATGTATTCTCAAGGAATCTTGAGTCACTAACATAAGTGAAGAAAGGGATGAAGAGCCTTCAATCCTGCACCATGTTCATTCCCATTAGAATGTAAAGCCAGATCCTCTAGGCTAGATTGTCCACGTGGAAGAAAGTTTAAAGCTGAACAAGTAGGCTGCCAGATATTTTGAACACCACATTCTTAATAGATTCAAAACTTCACCCCTTCCAGGAAGATACACCTTCAAACGAGTGATTCTAAGGGGAGAATCAGGGTAGTCACATGATACTCAACGAACAAGGGGAGCGATGGGTTTAGTAGTACTTTGTAAAGCAGGTCCAGATATTGGGTTACACCAAAATGGAAAGGGAAATCACTAACGCCCTATTTGCCGCAAGAAGCAGACACTGGAAGAGGTTTAGGTAAGAGAAGAGCAACTTTTATGTACTTCCCTGTGTATTTTAATGATGCTAGACAATCCTAATTGAGGTCATATAGAGAGCACTAAGATCAATTTGAATGTAGATTCTCGATAAATGAGCTCGCATAGCCAGTTCAATTGTCGTATCATTTTGAAATGGTTTTACCAAGCATTTTCCTTATTTGGAGCAGTACTTCACTGTCTATGTAATCAATAGGGCACAAATAAACAGATCCAAGCAGGCAGTTTACGAGACCATTGCAAAGATCAACCTAAAATAAGAGTCCACTCTCACACAGTGAGAATGGTTTGCTATCATCCAAGATCCCCCAGTGAGAGCCTTTTTGTAATCTTGCCCATCAGTCAATTAGAGGACGAAGTAGTCCTCGCCCAGGTCAATGAAGCCAATCTCCCCATTTGGTTTCCAGGTTTCAAAAATTTTACCCAAGATCGATTTTCATGCCACAGCATTACCCAAAACCTTATATTCATCACCCGTAGAACTTTCCTTGCATTCTGTTAATTCCCACTCATCAAACTTATTTAACTGTTTCCCATTCAGCACCTTAAAACTGAAAAGGATCTACTCACTCTTCCTCTAATGCTTCAACAATGAACATCCAACCAAACAAGAAACAAAACAGCAGAGCACAAAAGTTGTATTCATGACCAAACAGTAACCCAACCGAATATGCCAGATATCGAGCTTAAATTTGCAGGAACCCTTTTTTGAGTGCAAGAAAGCAATAGTAAACACTTGGAAATCTCCTAAGTCTATAGCTTGCCACCCACAACCCACCCAACCAAATACATGAGTTCCACGAATAGCACGGTCAAAATATTATAACCAGAGCATATGCTAAGCCATCAACATTAGAGAAGAGCATCAGTTTACCTGCAACAAATCAATAACAGAAGTTTTTATCACTACACATCACCATGCGTTACCATTATCATCATCAGTAGCATCCAACAATAACCCGCTGGTTAAGATTAATGTGGCCATCAACATATAATAATACATAATCACCTTATGAAATACCTTGGCTTATTCACATTCATGGCCCAACTTTGATTAAATGTCCTGTTGCGGATAGGAGCAACTGTAGCCTTTCTTGCGGCCTCAGTTGCCAATGGAAATTGGTTACCCTGGAAATTTGACCTCCTCTGAGCAAGAACACCCTGCACTCAAATTAAAAATCAAACAAATGCATTAAAATCAAAGACTCTGTAGGTCAGAAAATTATTTACATAGTGAAACAACCAAAATATATTCAAGCAAAATTTAGCAGCATACCTGTCGAACAGAGGATCTTGAGTCCATGAACTGACGCAACTTTCTGGATTTATCTTGGCCAGCATTATTCATAAATTTTTGACTTTTATTCTACAAGAGATTCCAAAAAAATTAGGACCAGATATCATAAACAGCATCATTAGAACGAATAGAAACTACATAGACTGGCGTACAATAAATAAAGAAGTTTCTTACTGGAACTCGCTGCTTCTTAGCTTTGGTTGTGTTAATTTTGGACATTTTGATGATATCATCTGTGTCGAGATTAGAAGCACACAGCACAAATTTTAGTTAAAAAAGATTAAAAAAAAAAAAAAAAACCAAACACAAGGTTAGCAGAATGTGCAATTTAATTATCGACACACCTAATGACATGTCCATTTTCTTCTCAGTGAGAGCAATTGCCTCGCTGGTTAGTGGTTTAGCTGCCATCTGAAGGAAACAATAGAAATGGGTAAAATAAACACCAGCATAACTAATAGAATCCAATAAAACAGACATACTCAGACTACGCTCTATACATGTATCAAGCTTAGCAAAAAGCCAGCTTTGCATCTTACTCCAGCCAAAATACAACAACAATATTCAACTAATATCACCCTTTTTCATCCCCAGTTTTCTCAGCAACCAAACGGAAAATCACCCCAGGTTTGTAACAAAAGCTAGGGCTTCCACAACCATTCAACACATGCTCCACCGAATCAGGAATTTTTTTCTCATCCACATTTCTCGGCAACCAACCAGAAAGTCGCCGTAAAACTACGATTATAACTAAAAAATCAACAAATAGTCTAATAACAATCCGTAGGGTTACGGAAGTAGTAACCAAATCAAACAAATCCTCGAGAAAAAAATTGTACCAGTGCAAAAAGAAGAAACTATACCAGAAACCACACACAAACACACCGTTTCAACGTAGAATATTGAGATGTAGAACGGGAAACAGAGACCGGTAATTATATAGGAATCGAATGAAATCCAATCTTACCTGTGTGGAGGGATGAATTTCAGATCAGGAAGAGGATTGAAACAGATTATAGCTGAGGTTAGGGTTAGGGTTTCGAAGAAAAGGAAATATTTTGAGGGATCAGAGAAAGTTGCTCGGTTGCTCGACGGCGAGAAAACTAGTAAATAAGCCACGGTGGAGACCCGTATATATAGGAGAACCCTATGATTTGCGGACTTCAATTCCGAATCAATTGATGACAATATCTTGCGGTTTTAAGTCCGCCAGTAAACACCGCGGCGTTTGCTGTTTTACTTGCGCGGAATTTGAGGTAGAAACTGCGTCACCGTTTGACAGCTAAGACTTCTACGCAGCCAAACGCAATGTGCCACGTCATGGAGGATCGAATTGAAGTTTTTGATCCCATTAATGACTGGGATTACTAGCCACTTATTTTTTGAATTAACCACCAAAATATAATAATTTTTAAACAATAAAGCGAATTTAATAATTTTACTTTTATTAGAAAGCATGTTCAATAACTGAGATTTTAACCCCCTTTTTTTCAAGAAAAACTTGGACACTGATGAAAGCGTGTTTATTAAACACGCTTTCTTTGTTTTTTTGTGAAAAGTGTGTTCTGTGAGGACAAATCAAAGAGGGGATGGGTCAGCGACTGAGTTGCAGAGCCAAATGTGTTGGAGTGGAGAACTGTTCGTGGGAAGCTCTCTGCCCTCGTCATGGCAACAACACAATCCATTTGAGTCCAAATCTCCAGAAATTTTTCTCAGCAATCAAATATAGCACCCCCTGAAGCACAAAAACACAACCAAAAATACAAATAAAATCAATCAACTAATCACCCAAAGCATAAATACATGTGTGCACAAAGTAGCATAAAACCGAGCCTTGATCACTATAGTAGACTCCAGAGCTTAGAAACCTTTCAGATACCGGTCGAAAAGCGTTCCAGGTAAGCCGCCAAACAAAAAAAACCCAAGAAAAAAAAGACCCTAACCCTAAAATTTGATGGGAAAATCAGAGAAATTGTTCAAAGGTAAGAGTGATATGAACGGCGAGAATCGGAAAAAGAGAAAATGCACTGAGTTTTGCATTTGGTTCTTGATTTCGATGAAGGGCAAGTTCTTACAATTATTGCTTTCCATTGATGTTGGCTGCAACGTAGGGGAAGATCGTTGTGTAGAAAGCGTGTTTATTAAACACGTTTTCACCGGTGCCTAATTTATTTTTTTTTAAAAAGGGGGGTCAAAAGTGAAATTGTTAAATCCGTTTCTAATAAAAGTGGAATTATTGAATTCGATTTCAAAAAGTTCCATATTTTGATAAATAAATTTAAAAATACCGTATTTTGATAATTTTGTTTAAAAATTATTGTATTTTAGTGATTAATTCAACACAGGCCACTTAAGTTTACTGTAAAATTATGCATTTTGTGATACATTCTATGCATTAAATCTTTAGTAAGGTTGTGAGGAACTCACTAATTCAATCACTTACATATAAAATTTGACGAGTAATTTGATAAGTATAATAATGCTATTAAGTTTATCATTAAATGAAATGAGTCTCGTCTTATTTGAAAAATTAATAATATTATGTGGGTATAATTTATTAATCTAATTGAACTAAGAGTGAGTCTTAATATTTTTTAAGCCTCATTATTAATATAATGATTACAATAAATTAGACTCAAATAATATTATTGTTAAAAATAAAAATAAGCTAATTTCGTATATGCGGATAAAAATAAAATTAAATATGAGACATAAATAATATACATAGTACTAATTACATATTAAACAAATAGACCATCAATTATGTCTAATTATTAATGTTTTTGTTTATTTGGTGAGTAAATAGTAATTTTATAACTTACTACGCTTGAACTGGACTATAATATCACCTTCCAGTAGTATTATAATCGACTCAATAATAATATAGAATAGGATTTGACTGCAAAGGCTCCCAAATAGGAGGTTCAAGGATTCTATTTAGGAGAAATTAGTGATGGAGTTCTTCAATCAAGTTAGGGTATGGTGGAGTGAGGGTTTGGGGTTCTGTGAGTGGTTTCCAAGCTTATTCAATAAAGGAGGGGGCATGGTGGGCTGGTGGATGGGAAGGGGTGGTGTGGGGCCTCTGCCCTTCCCTCTCTTTGCACCAACAGAAAAAAGGATGGGTTCAATGGTGGTGGTGGATGATGGATTCGATAGAGGTGTGAGATAGATTGCCGTGGAGAGAGAGAGAAGTATATTTGGTTATGCCTAATTCGTTAACCTAATCACTCACAATTATTATATTGAGCGTGAGCCCCACTATTTGTTGAGATGCAAAAGTTGTGGTGGATTACTCGGGGGTTATAATGCGGTTTTCAAAACAAGAGGTTTTATCATCTCAACATGCTTGAAGACAGCTGAAGCTGCAAGTGCAGCAGAAACAGTGAATCTAAGCCCGAAGTTCCGATGGCACAGAAGTATAAGGAAGCTTGAAAACCAAAAATAGCCTTTTACAATTTGAAGGGGTATCCTTCTCCAATATCAGAAAAAGGAAACACAGTATGAAAAATGCACTGACTGCATTCACTAATCACAGTGACAAATTAAATTATTGCAGTGATTAAGTTTTGCCGGTGGCTTGGAGAAAAAAGATGTGCCTCAGCCTAATCCAAAGAAAAAAGAAGTTATTCTGATAATTATGCGTCAAGTCAAATCTTGCTCTTCATGTGAATCTAATTGTAGGGAAATTATTAGAACGAAAAATGTCATCAGTTGACTCCATAAATCCACTTCTCCGCGTTGCTTGTGTAACTAACCAGCTCTTCTCGTTTGAACCATAGGTTAATTTCATCCTTGGCAGTCTCAGGGCCATCACTCCCATGAATGATATTTCTACAATGCAGAAAATAAAATGAAATGTTATGATAAGCCATTCACGTTGCAGTCATTGAAGTAAGAGTCTTGCACAATTTATCGTGATTCATCGAGTAAAAGATTGCACTGCTGATTTGGTGGAACTCAAGAAATGCAATTTGTGGAAGTGTGAGACGGTAAATGTAAGAAACTGAAAAATTACTGTTCAAGTTTAAAATAATACCTTCCAACAACAACAGCCAGATCACCTCTGATGGTACCAGGTTCTGATTTCTGTGGATCTGTGGCTCCAATAAGTTTCCGACCATATTTTATCACTCCTTCACCTTCCCAAACCTGAAAAAGTGAAGCAGATTGAGTTTGGTGCTCCCACAAGCTGAAGTCGATATATTAGAGGGAGTTGACAGTTATTCTAACCATTGCAACAACAGGGGCAGAGCTAAGGAATTCACACAACCCATTAAAGAATGGTCTGTCCTTGAGATCATGATAATGCTTCTGTGCAAATTCCTTCGAAGGAACTACAATTTTGATTGCGACAAGCTTAAAACCTTTCCTCTCAAAACGAGATATGATTTCTGAAATCTGAAATACAAGGAATTTATCTCAAATCAGACAAAAATGCCACTCCTCAAGCAAAGGGAGCAGGTCAAACCACACGCATACACACACAAATCATGAAAAAAGGCGACCTTCTTGTACAAAATGAGGACATAATTTAATACACAAAATGGAAGTACATCTAAATGGCATGGTTGGAAGGAAATATAGAGATAGATAAACAGAAAGAGACTGCATTATCTTAGAGTTCATCGCCCTATTATGTGCAAAGGGCAATTTCCAAAGGCCACAAAAGAAGCCGAAGGTATCTTACCAGCCCTCTCTGAACTCCATCAGGCTTGATAGCAATAAAAGTGCGCTCCATCTGGAGAGAGAAGAGAAGATGCACCATGAGTCTGCCAAAAAGAACGAAGGAGAAACACCCACACACAGAGCAAAGAACAAAAAGTCCTAGAATAAAATATTAGAGAAGCAAATGGCAATTGGAGTACCTCTGCAGCATGTGCCTCTTGCTCCTGAAGCATGTAAGCTACATTATAAAGAAAGAAAAGGCAGCGGTGGAATGAGGATCCAAAGATAAAAGAAGTTTGAAATATCGAAATATAATGCACCCAAAAGATTTCACAGAACCAAGGCTATCATATTGATCAATTTGTTTGTAACAGAAGTGAAAACAGAGGAACTGTAAGCTAACTGGCACGGACAACACATGTGAACATGACCACACTGATGCAGAAATGAATATCATTAGCCCCCAAACAAGTGATTTGGATGCCACAACGTTAAATCCTCTATTTCTAAGACATCTCATTATTATTTACCCCATTAGGAAGATTAGCAACACTGGCAGTGATGAGACAGAAGGTGCGAGTTAAACTGTTCAACAATATGGAAATTGTGTGACTTATACAAAAGAGAGAGCACATTTTGCTGACAAGTACATGACAAAACTAATCAAGGAAAAATAACCAAAACTAGCATAGCAATGTCTTTGGTCTACACACATAAACAGACATACACATCTAGAGAAAATAAGGCTTCTCAACCCAAAGAATCCCCTTTCATCTACCAAAATGGGAAGTGGTATCAGCGGCTATCATACATACAAACACCTTCCATGCTTACAATCCGAAGTTCAATTTCAGAAAACAACAATAGAACATGTAGGATAGATCCTTCATGCTAAGACAAATGAGCTCGTAAATGCACAGTCCTTGTTTTTCCATCATGTCATGATGGTGACAAACTATTGTTTGTTGTAGGAGACTCAAATTGTAAAAGGACATAAAATATACAGAGGAAGGAAGAAACTAATGTAGAAAGGCATACTAAGAAGGTTCTTATTATACAAACCAGTAGCAGGAAGGGCAAGGGCTCCAGAAATCCATCCTCCAGATTCACTTCCAGAGTTGGCCCTCCCATATGAAGCTAGAGAGGGCACCTTTCTTCTGAAGGACACTGCCATTGCTGCAGCTGCAGTTCTCCCTTCTGCAATTAAACAATTCTTTGTGGTAAACAAAAGATACATTCTCACATTCACATCAAGTACACAGTAGGTGTGTATATATTTGAAATACACACACTTGAAAATGTATTTGTAACATATGCAATTTCTGATAGTTCAGCTTTATAGAGAAAAAAACTAACGACTGAAGGGTCAGTCTACGAAAAGAGAAAAAAAATACGTATGAGGAAATGAGCATAGAAGATATAAAAGAATGTATGGACTTTGGAATTATTTGGGAACGACAAAGGAAAATATACTACTCGAAATCAATGCATTTAATATAACATATAAGTCATAGAAACCATTAGAAACAAGTTCTGAGCACCAATTCCCAGAATTATACATACATGTGTGGTGTGTGTGTGTTTTTATGTATACATACGTGCATATGCATATATATTATATATATTTCTGATTGTGTAAATAGATGAACAGAAAAAACTAGTTTTATTTACACCATAGAAAAATATATAGGCAAAACGGCCGGCACACACGGTCACGGTTCATCTACAACTCAACAATTGCGCTGATCAAAGTGCAGATTTATTCTCTTAGCTGAAGAAGAGGACAACACCATGATGAATGTTGATATACAATATACTATCAGATTAGATGCAGAAAATAATCTAACATTAATTTTTAGGAAAAAAATTGATAGCAAGAAATTGAG